ATTAGTTTATTGTAACAATTAAGCACTATTTTTATACATTAATTTTTTAGAGTCTAAAGTTAGTTCTGAAGTTTCGCCTTCAAATATGAATGACGTTTTGCCTGCCGTGTCCGTTGTCGAAATTGATGAAATACCAAAGAAAGAATTAGGTAAAGTAAAATTATTTTATTTTATTTATTTCATTAATATTTATTTCACATAGAAACATCCATAACACATATTTTGTTTAACTATGTTTAATATTATATTTCAAAAACTAGGAATAATTTTACTCATATTAAAGCATTTAGCTAGCTTAAGTAATTTATGAGAAGTTTTTAACTCTTGTAGAAGTGACGCATGACCCGAACACAAATGAACTAGATCAGTATAACGCGCCTTCGTTTAAGTCCCCTAAATCTTGGTACACTTCGGACACAATTAATGATTATCTCAAATTGATAGTGAAAAGGTCCAATGGCGAAGTTCATGCTGTCGTTACCGACTTTATACCAGCATATCTTCGAGGAGGTTATCCAGCTGTCAGAAGATGGATAAAAAAAGATATCCATACATTAAAGTTTCTTTTTGTGCCAATGAATGTACTTGGCGGACATTGGATATTGACTGTGGTAAACGTACCCGAAAGAACTGTGACATCATATGACAGTCTTAAGTGTTATGATGGTCCTTATCCTATGGTACTGAAGGAGTATCTAACTGACTGGGAGATGGATAAAAAAGGAGCAGCTTCTTTGTGGACATTAAAAATCGGTGAGACGACTCGTCAAACTAATGGATATGATTGTGGTCCATTTACGGTTGAGTTAGCCGAAAAAATGGCTCGAGGAGACACAATTCCTATAAATGCGAGTCTTATGCCTTCTGTAAGATTAAGACACAGAGAAGAAATTATAGCCGGCCAACTATTTCAATAATTTCTAATGAAAGATATTGCTTAAATGGCTTATATAAAGTTCCTAATTTGTACATTGAATTGATATTTTTGTTAACACGCTTTTATACTTCCTAACATTTTCTTACGTTTTATAAGCTTATTGTTATTATTATTTTTTGTGATTTTTCTTTGTTGCATTACTTTATTAAATAAATGTATTTATTAATATAAAGTTATCTTAAATAAAATAATTTTATGTTCAAATGCTACGTTGATTGAATTCAAAAACTGCGTAATTAATAATAATGGAAAAAATAATTTTTAATGTTAATGAATTTATATACTTTCTTAATAACTTCTATCGACAAGTTAAAGTAGTACTAAATAGGTGGACCTAAATTTATTTATGTATTTTTCTAACATATTAAAACTCATTAGTTAAAAAATAAATAAAATCGTCTTCAAAATTCTTTTATTACACATCGGTACTATTCAATAAAAAAAATTATTTTTATTTTACACTAAAAATAAACGTCAAAAACTCCGTTTTCGTTCAATTAGAATGTTCGAACTAGCGATGTAGAGTAAAAAAATTTTGGCGAACAAAATAAAATTACGATTCCCTCTCCTAAAAACAAAATTTTTTTCTGGTTGCGACACTGATTCCATTCATAGTAAATCAGTGTCCAGTCACAGTTGGAAACTTTTAAGGCTATCATTATAGTTAGTGTAGGGTGTGTTTTAATGATTTCATTTTTAACAGGTTTGGCGAACAGCATTAAAAATTCTGAAGCGATGCCCAGGATCTGGACGCACAAGAACCGGCTTGTAATAATATATTATTACTTATAATAATATATGAATTATATTAATATAATAATGAATATTGAAGATGAAATGATTACTATTGATAAATATATTGATGCCAATGATAAATTTCCCTACGATTCCAATGAATATTAAGATACTATTTATGTCCCATATAGCAGCCCTGCTCTAAATATTAATAACATTGCAAACAATGTTATTAATGATAATTCCAATACTAATCCCTATGAAAATATTTTTAATACTATTGATATAGAAAACATTACAAAGAAATGCCATAAGATAAATGGGCTTATATAAAATTTAAATGAAATAAATACTAATTACGTACGTACAAAAACTATGATAATCATCCCCAATGATATAACTAGATAGATTAATAAAAAATAAAATATAAAAATCATGAGATAATTATTTATAATAACACGAATATTGATAAATTATTTAACACAATATAAAAATCCAAGTGATCGAGGTGTTGACTAATAGCAAAAGGAATACTATCTTTACCAAAATATAATTAAAACTTCATAAAAATAAAGAGTATCTAATAAAACAAAAAATTTTAATTGACTTTATAATCAAAAATATTTAGCACCTTACTCAAAAATTCCATATTATAAAAAGAATAAACTAAGTTATCCAAGTATCATCAATTAAATATACTATGCATGTACAATCAAATAAAAAAAATATATCTGCTAATAACGATTTTATTTTGAATTAAATTATCATTATACAACTATTAATATTACTTATAAATAAACTAAATTTTTATTTATCAATTTTATCATTATTATTTAATCATCAAATTTTACTTTTATTCTTACTAATTACTAAACTTTTATTTTACTTATATTATTATAAACTTATATTCAATTTTTCATTTATATAAACAATTTTATTACTTTTTAATCACTTTACATATTCATATTTATATTTTATATAACTTATAACTTTTATTACAACTATTTATAAAAAGCACCAAACCTATTTAAAATTATGTACCTTACAATTAAGACAATTTGAACAATTATTTTTAGTATTCTTGATGTATGTCATACGAGGGCGTATGACAAAATAGAAAGGGGTGCATTTGTAATATTATATTATAACTTATAACATTAAAATATTATATTATGTTATCTTTTGTACATGTATGTCATATATTATGAATTTACAAGATCACCAAAACAGGGTTCCCTTATATAAAACTTAAAATAATCAATAATTAAGTCAATTAAATCTGATTATCGTACAGATTAAAAGTAACGCCTATGTGTGAGTTCTCAATTAGGTCCAGCCAATCATATTTAACTATTAATTAAGCATCCATAGTTTCTAAGATCATACTAGGGATCGCTACACGACCCTCGTCTAATATAAAAACCCATTTTTTCCTATTAAAATCAGTTTTTTCGGCGATTTTAAGATACACAAAATCTGCGACACTACTCAAGATTCTTACTCTCTGGGACTTAGTCGATTTTTTTAATTTATTTGGACTTAGAATATTTTTCTTTAAAACTAAATGACACTTAGAGATTTTAAAGTGAATTTTGTTTTGGTGAATCTTTTATTTTAATTTAAATTGTTCTTTTGTAACGTGACAAAAGTATCTTGTTATTTTTTTGTCTATTTGTATATATATATATATTTGTTTTGAGCCGAATGCGGACTGCGACGGCGTTTGTCAGTAATATTATCATGATAAGGTGTTGTGATTTGTTTATGCGCGTGCGAGATAGTCAGCTGTGTACTACTTCAGACCGGTTAATGGACGGCATTTGTGTGTACATTCACCCCTCTCCTTTCCTATCTTGAACGTCATTTGCACTGCTCACCGCATACATTGTCGCCTTATTTAAATTGTTCTTAGTAATTTCCGGCACTGGGTATTAGGTTTTTTTTTGACCCCTACTCCAAAGGCTAGCCGTGTTGTCGCCAACGGACCGCCGGGTCAAACGTCGGACGGGTTGTCGGGGAATAGCCATAGTCGGAACTGGTCGCACTATTTCCCGTCCGTAGCGGTCGTAATTTTTGTTGTGTGCGCTACAATTTTTTTTTTTTTTATATATATACATTTTTTTTATACGTGAGTGTCCGCCGTTTATTATGTAGTTTTTTTTATTGGCGTCGGCTGAACCTACCTCCAGTTTCTTTAGCCCTTCGGGGCTGGTAATGTATAGTTTAGTAGTTAATGTTTTGAGCCAGTTTTTTTATTAGTGCGCCGTGCCATAAGCACGTGTGGAGAATTTTTTTTATATTTTTTTATATAGTTTTTTTTTGTAGGTGCCCCCATTTTTTTATTTAAGTCCCTCAACATGGCAGGCGTGTTCCAATACCACCTGTCATGTTATATATATTTTTTTATAGGTTATATGTTATATTTTATTGGGTGATGTATATATTATTGGTACAATGTGGTGACGTAGTGCATTTTATTCCGGGGTGTCCCAACGTCTTGCAAGCTAAGCCTAACTGCCAGAAACCAGTCGCTTACTTGGGACGTATACCCGCCGTGCTTAGCGGCAATGCTGCGA